AAAAAAAAAATAAAACATCGTGACTTACAAAGTGAAAAGTAAACTGAATTAAATATCTGGAACGAATTTCTGCGCGAAACTCGCAACTTTTTCAACGTATCAATCGCAGAATTAATGGATGACAACATTTTAATTATTTACAGTTATTACATATCGTTGCATCTCGCGTCGTCTATTTACTCCTTCAGCGTCGACTGTAATTTGCCCGTTTGATTCGTCGCGCGATATCGATCCTTCCCGAAATTCGCGACGGTGGGTATTATTGTAACTGGAGTCGTTAGCCGGAGCGACGTAATAATAGAATAAATTGTTTCGAAACGATCGACAAAATATCGCGATAATAACGCGTGTATTACGGAAATTATTCTTCAATGACGTACAGCAAAATAATTTATCTTCCTATTTCACTTCATTAACCATTAAATCCCGCGAGGCATTAATAGAATAATTAATGAAATAATATTCGCGTTTGATGTAATCCGAAAGATCGTGAAATCGTTTCTAAATCGTATTGTGAGAGTTACTTTTACTTTTACCTAATCTATTTCTTCTTCAAAAAAAATAAATAAATAAATAAATAAATAAAGTTTTCAAGTGACATACATGCTGTGATGACTTCGACAAATACGTATTCGGACGAAAATTCATTCCGATGGATTCGTGCCAGGCGTCAAAATGAAATAACATTCATGCGTAAGTACTTATTATGCGTGATCTCCACTTGCCTCAAGGTGTATGATTAACTTTGAAGCTTGGCACAGAATCATCAAAATAAGTTTTCGTTATAGCTTTAGTCTAAACTGGTCTTTAGACGGTCCGTATTGCCGATAAATTGTCATGAATTTGTCGATCATACGAGACAAGATATCTAAGATTTAAAACATCATACAGCGTATCATTTTCAATGTTGATGGTGCGATCATGTTGCGGCGATTAGAACGATCTTTACATCAAGTTGCGCGCACGGAAAAAAAAAAAGAAGATAGCGGCGTGCGTAATTTTTCCATTTAGAAAAAATTATAGCGATCGTACGTCTGTTGTTTCGTCGGGTTTTTTTCCTGCCACTTTCGCTATTCTGCTTTGCAATTCTAGACAGGCGGAGTACACGAGATGCCCCGAGGCGTCACGCACTTTCTCCCGGACGCTTTTCCGGTAGATGCAGAATAGCGAAAGGGTTAATTCTCCCACACGCGCGTATGTCGCGGTGGGGATATACCCTCGCGAAGCCGTCCAAGGGGGATGCATGTGCGCGTGTATATTTTGCACGCCGTGGCGCACGCTCCCTTCTCATGCTTGTCCGGCTCAATCCTTTCAACGTCCTTTTTGTCTTTCTCATTGTCTCCGTGTGCTCGTGCGTAAATCGCAGATTAAGCGAGAGAGGAGAAGAAGAAGGTGGATGAGAACGGGCAAAAAGAAGGCAGCAGCGAAAGGGGATGTGAGATCAGGGTCGGATTTCCCATTACCAGCAGCCGTAGTGGCGTCAGTGGAGAACGTTTATCTTACCTCTGGAGAAAACTTTCCGAAAACAAATAGAAAATAGAAAAGCGAAAATGTACTAAAATGCGCGAGTAAGCCTTTTTTAAAAAAAGAGAGAGACACGCTCTGTTGAAAAGCAAGAAAATATTCCTGATTATGATATTTTTCGTGTGTGCTCTTTAAGAATTTAAAAGCTTCAAGAATTTAAACGCTTTTAGTTTTTAAAAATGTTTCCCGTATTTTCTATCGATTTTGGAGACATTTGTATTCTTTCAGGTGTACTATCTTATATACTTATTCTTGTTTACTTTATCTCCTAAATAAACTTGTTAAGATTTTAAGGAAATCTTGGTTTTCCTGGAGATAGAATATAACGATATCTTTGATAGGGTAAGACGATGATCCTTTCTGATATCGGTATCTGTTTTTTTTTATCTTATGGATATCTTATGGATACCTTCAAGTTCAGTAGGACAATGATCCTTTCTGATATCGACATCTGTTTTTTTTTATCTTATGGATATCTTCAAGTTCAGTATCTACGGACTCGCGCTCGGTGTCAGGTCGATAGTTTTCCACGCTCTCTGTCGCGGCAATTTTTGCCTGTGCTCTCTCTCTCCGTGGCACCCGTTCGCACCGGTAAGACTGGTTATATCCACGAAGAGTGACCGCTTGATGAAAGGATCGTCTCGGTTGCTCTTTACGGCCAGGTTCAATCGATCGTTCCCTTAACGCGCGACGAGTACCTCGGGCGTATCGTGCAAAAATGTGATCATTATTTCATACGTAACTTTATTTTGCGCTATCGATCACGATACGTTTTACGTCATTATCAGTATTACTTATTTTTATTACCGTGCACATCTCTCGCGTGTCTTCATCTTTATCAAGGAAAATGATCGATTTGGTATTTAGGATACAAAATGCATTCGTAGGAAATACTTATGAAAACATATGTAGCTTCCAAAAGTGATTAAATAACATCGATTTCCTTAATCAATTTCCTTCGTATTTTTGTAATTAAAAGCACCAACGGAAAAGTGTAGCGAAATTAATTTTATATAATAACATATAGGAGGAAACCACGAACTTTTACCGCAACAAAGCTAACACGTACGGCTTGAGAAAGATCATCCCGATAAGAGTACACGAGGTTAATACAATGAACTGCAACAACGTTCACTTAATTATAATGTATTTTCCATTGTCACAGTTAGCGCTATTATCGTTGGCGCACCGATTTTTTTTCCGAGGATTACTGTTATAAAAAAATAACGAATGACGTTAAGAAGAAAAGATTGAAAGGTCACCTTGCAATGGTTAAACAACACTGACATTTTTGCGATATCTGTGTTCGATGAAGTCATCGGTACTTCCTGTCGAGGAAGGTACGGGTCCTCCGGCGGTCGCAGAGTCGTCGAGAGGCGGCGATGCGACAGCTGGTCCTTTATCCAAGGGCGTGGCTACTTTGTGCCGAAATAATCGGGGGCGCGCATCGACGAAAAAAAAAAAAGAAACGACGTAGCGAACAAGACGGGCGGAATAAAGGCTGAAGAAGCGTTAATTACCATGAAAATATCGAACCGCTAATTGCAGAACGCGCGCGCGTTCGCGCGCGCGAGCGAGCGAGTCATTGACCTTCGCTTCTGGCGAAGAGTTTCGTTCGTTCGTTCATTCGTTCGTGCGTTCCGGCCCGCATCCTTTATGTCTCCGCAGGTAGGTGCGCAAGTGGCCGCAGGAATGTGCTTTCGTTCGAGCGACGAGCGAACGACGAGGCTCCGAGTGCTTCATTTTTCTTGCGTGGACATCAAGCAGCGTCAACGACGCGTGATATTATCGTTGCCGGCTTATGGCTATCGAGCGTTGCTCGGATAAGGGACTACTCGCATGAATATAAACGAGAAACTATACAATCGTTTACTTTAAAAAAAAAATAAAAAAACGGAAGGAAATACCATATTCGCGTGCCGGTAATTTAATAAATAAAGTTCTTCGATTTTTTTTTTTTGTAGTAATTACCGAGAGAAAAAGATTCAAAGGAATTAAATAGACTCGTGACATAAGATTTTTTTTTCCATATTTTTCTTATCTTTATTTTTACATTTTTTATGATTTTTGTTATCTTCTTCGGTTTTTTCTCTTTTTTTTCTCTCTTTCTCTCTCTCTCTCTTTTTCCTTTTTTTTACTCTGCTCTTCGAATGGCATTATACAAGTCGATAACTTTATAATATGCCATGCTCATACAATGTTTGTAGTTCTTAGCTTATTGACGAAATAAAAAAAAACATGCTACTTAGTGCACACGCATTTCATTTATTAGATTCAAGGTGAAGCCTTTGCAGATAAAATCAAACCACAACAAAATTGAATTTTGTGCTTTTGCCGGCTTCTGTAATATCTAATGAAACTGGCTACTCCGTCATTTGTTTCTAAATCACGTGTATGGATAAAACAAATATTTGAATTTTTTAACTATGACTAATAAGAATAAAGCGATACAAATTCGTTGTTAGGCAGATTCAAACTACATATTTATATTCTAGCAGGAATTTCATATGTGTGGTATACAGCATATTTAATAACGAATTTTCTGTAATATTGTGCAGTTCTAATGGCATAAATGATTATAAAAATAAACCTTATGAGTACAATAGACAATAATCAAATCAAATGCAACTTATATAACATCGGTCTTAAAATACATATTAAAAATAAAAACATTTTTATATGTAATAAACATCAAATAATTTACAATATTCTACAAACAGAAGAGTATTAGCGTGGTATAACTATATCACAAAAATATCAGAAAAAAGGATATTGCGAAACGAAAGATTTGTAAAACATTCATAAAAAAAAATATATATATATATGTAGCTTTGCAATCTACGGGAAATCAGAAAGAATAGTAATAGTAAATGTTACCAAAATTGGTATTTTATTGTAATTATAATTAAATAATATCTAATTCCTTCGGTCAATCAAAAAATTATTCTTGAGCGTTTTGTAGATTTACACAACATTTCGCAACACAGATTTGTTGCAATTTTATTATTTTACATTGTACATTTTGAAACAGTGCAAATTATCGGATTAATTGCTTTACACACGATTATGTTAAATGGAACATCCCCGATAAGTTTGCACGAACGTTTAATAGTTGACGACCATAATTCCATAGTGACCGCGTGTACCGCAGCCGATCTCGACGATCTAATTTTCTCACGTTGACTGCAATCAGTAGAAGCGAGCTATCGCATGGCATTTAATTATCGCGCAATCATATTGTCATCACGGCGTAATATCCATGAAACATCACGTAGCCTCGTCCAATGGTACTAACATGCCATTGTTAGTACACGGATTGAATAAGTTATTTTAAAATTGCACCAGAGCCCTGCTATAATAACTCCGACATATTCTTCACCCCTAGAGTTCTCCGTTTTAATTTATCCTCGTATCTTTTCCCTCCCTCGCTATACACGCCACTTATAATACTTATCGATCTTTCTTTCTCTTTGCAGGGAAAAACCTGTACAATAATGAGCACGTAGCAATTAAAATGGTGAGTAAGAAACCGCACGTTTTATGTAACTATCAAGACATGAAAGACTTGGAACGAACTTCCGCTGACGGATTCTCCTTTTCGTTTGCTGTATTACAGGAACCAATGAAGTCAAAGGCACCACAGCTACATTTAGAATATAGGTTTTACAAATTATTAGGAACACATGGTGAGTATCATTTCCACGTGATTACACTTGAAATTTCAATGAGATTCAATGAGAGGAAATTAGATACGAATTCATAGATTAAAACAAAATTAGACAATGTATTGGAACGTATTTAAAAATAAAATGGAGCAAAGTTAAAGAGAATACTAAAATATTTGTTTGTAGAGGCATTAATAGAGAAGTGACGGAGAAGTAGAAGGTAGATTATTAATTCTACGACGCTTGGATAAATCAATAATTTAAATAAATGTTCTCGATATACTTGAGTGCCGTTAATCTTTCGTCAATGATGTTGCAAGAAACTAGTCCCGTAACAAATTCGGATCGACTTTGCGCAATTTGATGCGACACGATGTGAGATATATAATTTACTTCAATTTTCATACGATCTGAGTTAGCTAAATCTCATGTGAAACAATCGCGCATGTAATTTCCGCACGCTTGACTAAAGCTCGACGCAATTAGCGTCACGAATAGATTGTATCGAAATTGTACACCCTGTGTATCATGGAAAAAATAAAACGTATTGCATTTTCATATATATATATATGTGTGTGTGTGTGTGTGTGTGTGTGTGTGTGTGTGTGTGTGTGTGTGTGTGTGTGTGTGTGTGTGTGTGTGTGTGTATGTGTGTGTGTGTGTGTGTGTGTGTGTACATATATTTGTTCTGCATTATTTTTTAACAACTAATTCTTCGATCAATTCAGAGTTAATTTTTCCACGGCGGAAATGTCGAGATCGTTATTTTTTTTTTATCTCAACTTCATAATTTTCATAGATAACGAATATTCAACATCTAACAATCGTGTATTTAATGAATACAGTGACATTTTGCGTGCGTTCTTATTTCTTATCGTTGTCCATTCTATAATTATTCCCATCGAGGGAAAATACTCATCTGAATTATTTATCTAACAATTATCATGAAATATCCAAATGTAAAGCGTAACGTTACATTCCATTCAAAATTTTACATTGTAAGGTGGATTGTGAAAATTCGCGAAATATAACAGTTTGTGACAGTATATACAAAAACTTTTTGATGTAATCAGTCACATTTTTTTCTTCTCATTTTGTGTGCTCATATCTACGTCAAGGACTTAGTCGGAAAATTTCTAAAGCATCGTCAGGAAATATGGCTAACGAGATCTTTTGTCGTCGTAGAATTATATATCTGCTTGATCTACAACCGTCATACTATTCTTATTTCATTTTTTGCATTTTGTTATGGCAAATTTTTCGATAACAATACTGGGGGTGATCTGGGGTGTGATCTGCTTTTGTCGATCGGTATAGTTCATAACACACATATAGAGGGAATACCGGAGGTGTACTACTTCGGTCCGTGTGGGAAGTATAACGCCCTGGTGATGGAACTCCTCGGACCGAGCCTTGAGGATCTCTTCGACCTCTGCGGGAGGAGGTTCACCCTCAAGACCGTTCTCAACATTGCCACACAGCTGGTAAGTCGCATTACCGTAACACTTTCCGCAGAACTAACTCTCGACCGCACTTCGTAAGTTGACCTCAACACCGGACTAGGGTTCGGTGAATCCCACAAGCATCAATCGTCAATCATTCATTTTTCTTCAACAATTTGAAATTTTTCTTCCACAATAAGGATTTTTATCTCCTTTGATTATTTAATATCTACAACTTTTACTTATCACAAGATTCTATTAAAGGTAGCCAAAAACTTCTCTTTTGAATTTCAAAGTACAAAATCGTTCCTTTTTTTTTCTTATTTTAAATGCAAAGTAAGAGCTCAATTTACAAACTTTATAAACTTTAAAACTAAGATCAAACGTAAGGAGAAAAATTTCGTTTCAAGTTTTTTCTATGGCCTGCTTGAACGATTCATGTTCGAAGTCTTGGGATATTAATTAAGCAAATATTAAATAAAGTGAAATAAAAATAAAAATCATTTTAAGATTGTTGTAACACTAAATTATATCGCGTAAACGATAATCTATAATTTTGTTAAATAAAAACAAAATATATAAAAATCTACTTTTTTTCTCCAACAGCTCCATAGGATAGAATACGTTCATAGTCGGCATTTGATATATCGCGACATCAAGCCGGAAAATTTTCTGATAGGACGATCCACTACCAAGAGGGAAAAAATTATTCACATAATCGATTTTGGATTAGCCAAAGAGTACATAGACCTGGAGACGAACAAGCATATACCGTATCGGGAACACAAGAGTCTTACCGGCACGGCACGTTACATGAGCATTAACACGCATCTTGGCAAAGGTAACGGATATTTACTTTTATGTTGTCGTGTGTATGTGTGGGTGTACTTAGCGCTGCATAACGAATTGCCACGTGCTAAACCATCGCTGGCTCACGAGAAAGCGCGACGAATGTCTTAATCTTCAATAGATATCATGAGTTTCTTTAAATCATGATTTATATGAATTGAAGTCATTTAATTATAAATTGTAATAATCAAATCGCAAATATATAGTATTTTAATAGATTTCTAGAGTTTCATATCTTCCATTATATTGAAAATTAAAATACACGAATGAAATTATTTTATCACGAAACATTTTATCACAGAACAAAGCAGAAGGGACGACCTGGAGGCGTTGGGCCACATGTTCATGTACTTTCTGCGTGGCAGCTTGCCATGGCAAGGACTAAAGGCTGACACGTTGAAGGAGCGCTACCAAAAGATTGGCGACACGAAACGGGCGACGCCGATCGAGGTGCTCTGCGATGGCCATCCCGAAGAGATGGCCACGTATCTACGCTACGTACGCAGGCTGGACTTCTTTGAAACACCGGACTATGAATACTTGAGGAAGCTCTTTCACGATCTGTATGAGAGACGCGGCTTCGTCAATGACGGCGAGTTTGATTGGACTGGCAAGACGATGGTACGTGTCGACTAACGATTCTTGTTTTTTTATGTATTCTCGTTGTGCAAAGAGCTTTTGCAAAAGCTTTAGCAAATGTCACGTTTGTACATCACTTTTTATCCGGTACTGGATAAAAATAGCGATGTATGCATGTTAACTTATTTGTTACATCGAAGTATGTCGATGATAACGGACATCAATAAGACTTCAAGAAGAGAAAATGAATCGGCAATTAAATTCTGATCTTGCTTTGACATTATCTGTACATTTTTCTGTCTAATAATAGTAGAAAAAGAGATTTTATCGTTTGCGTCATTTATTTGTGACTAGTCTTATGTAATTAGAAAATCTCTACGAAGCATTTTTCATCAAAATGTTATTTTGATCTTTGAAATGCATAATTGCAAAAATCATACAAATAATAGCAATAATATCTACAAATAACTCAATGATGCAAGTCGATACAAATCGTTTCTTTTTCTGGAAAATGTGATTTTTCTCTTCTTTAAATTATTCTATTATTATTCTATTATTATTTTATTATTATTTCTATTATTATTTCAATTCTATTATTATTAAACTGAAATTTTTAATTGTAATCTTTTTTTGTCAATCATAATTTTCTAAAAAAATTGATAAATTGATAAATTTGTCGGGCAAAGATACCGACAACTGGGTAAGTAAATCGTTATGTTCCGCCTATGTTCCAACAGACTCGCAACACAGGTCTATGCGACGAGCAGTTTCACATTTGATTTTTAACGTTTGCATGCTGCCCTCCCTCTCAATGCACTATCTCTAGCCATGCAATTTCGAGCACCTGAGAGCGCTGCGGATGGCGGCCCCCTCGCATATCGGCAAAACTAGATCCGACAAGGTTGGTGGTGGCTCAAATAATCTCACGACAGATAATTGAGACCGAATTATTGAGCTTCGACATCTGCACACTATAATCGCATATCTGTGATTCTTTATATAATAAAGTACCGCTACGATATTGTTACTGATCGTTACTATAATCGCCATGGCTGACTGGCCTTATATAAATAGGGATTTAACACATTATGATGTCACAGGTTCTTCTGTTAAGCGTAAATTAAAATGCACAATCCGTCAATAAGTTTGTCTGTCTGTCGGTCCACTTTCCAGACTCCAAGTATGTTATACTTCATGAGATATAATAGAAATCTGTAATACTAATGACGCTCATGGCATATATATATATATATATATATATATATATATATATAAATTTTTGTTTATTGTATACGTATATATAAAGCAAAGATTTTTTTTTCATTACAGTCCACGCCTGTCGGATCCCTTCAAACCGGCCAGGAGATCGTCGTATCACCAAACCGCGATCGGCATCCTACTGCTTACAAGGTATTCCCTAGTTTTCCTTTCTTCTTCTTTTTTCCTTTTTTCTAAACCAAAAGCATGGACGTGTGTAGCCTATTTGTTATTCGAGTTAACCGCATGGATACACATCTCAGTAGCGAAAGAACCGAAAACAGAGTTTTAACAACGACCTTGATTCAGAATTCTTGTTTATTTCGAGGTAAAGATATTTAAAAAAAATCGAACAAACAGATTTTTTTTCGAGAAGAACGCGCTGATATCGAGTATAATAGAAAAGAAAATGCGCGTACAATTATTCTCTCAGCCATGAAATCAACGAGAATGTTACGGCGTCAATTTGTAGGAGTGCGATGATTTTGAGGAGGATGTGATCCTCATGATGGATGAGGTTCGCTTCGAGTTACAAGGCCGATATGTAAGCCATCCCTAGGTTACGCTCGATGAATCGACTTCTTCATGCATGCTTTATCTTATCAGCGGAAAGATGACTATATAGTAAGGAAAGATACCCGCGGTCGCATTTTATAATACGCATTATTAATGTTTTTCTGCTCGTAAAACAAGGTCGCGGGGTTTAACGATCGCGGGGCGTGAACTCCGCAAACTCGTGTCTTTTAGATCAATAGTCGATTAATAGTCAATTGATAGTGGCAATAAATCTTTTCCATTTTTTTTTTCGAGCGTTGTTGGAATGACTAAATATAGACGATGAACTGCAACGAAGTCGTAACGAGGCGATACGTTCAATTCGAACGTCCGATGACGATAAACACATGCACGAAGAAGAAGTGACGTTAACGTGGTAGCTCAGTAGTTTGTAACGAGCTAGAGCCAGGAAATGTCTTATATATCATAGTTTATCTGAAAGAAATGTATAAAGGTATTTGATGCGTAGATAATTAATAATTCATCTCATTTATCAGTGAGCGAATCGCATTTTCATCTTCTTAATATAGAGATTAATATCGAATTAGATTGATCTTAACTCTCCTTTTTGCGCGTTTATCATCACATATCGCCATGCTATACGCTCCAAAAGATTTCTCTCTCGGGTCTTTCCTCGGATCTTATCTTCTTTTCTACTGTCTTTCGTGTTTATTCGCGGAGTTGTTTAACACGACGCAACTGCGAAATTGTCATGCTTCTTCCTTCAGGATGTGGCAGGTGGAGGGGTGGGAGGTGGGGGCGGTAAAGGGGTGGGAGCCACGTGGCCAGATACTGTGAAGCAATCAGGAGCCGGTGGTACATTGACACCTGCTGATAGGCATGGCTCTGTACAGGTGAGTTTACCTGCGCATCTTCCGTTCTTTCTCTCTTTTTCTCTTTCTTTTTTTCTCTCGTGTCATTCTGTCCCATCATTTCCTAGAAGCTTCTTTTTTCGATTTTCTTTGCATCTTCTCGTTTCTTATTTACAGCCGTATTTTTCTGTACTTGCGACTGCGGAATATACGAAATATACGGAATATACGACTCACACATTAAGGATCGGCAGGAGTGACGGGCTAACTCCGACTTGATCTAAAATGATTACGTACTTCTTATTTACAGTGCAGATATGTATCTGTATTCAATTATATTTTGTCTTATAGAAACGATGTTTCGTCATGAAACTTTATTAAGATAATTTCTTTTACAAAGCTACTTACAGAGCCAATTTTGCAATTTAGCTCTTAAATAATTAAAATAAATGTAACTATCTATCTATTCCTTATTTACAGTGCAGAGTACACCCATATATTATCTCGTAGAAGTAATATTCTGCCATGAGTCTTTTTTTATATATTTTTTATAAAATTATAACTCTTGCTACAGAGATGCCGGATTTTGCAATTTGGTTCTTAAAAAAAAATTTACAATAAATGAAAATATTTGCACCTTATTGTCCTATAGTGCAAACCTATTTACGCATAAATGAATTATTTATTTTTACACATTTTCTTACAAAAATGATTCTGTAGCTTTCGTCAGGCAAATTATTCTGATTATAAATATCATAATTATATAACTTTTCTCGCAATATTTTGGCCGTAATATGGGTGAAAAGGAATTTATCTCCGATTAGAGGTCTCATAGTCTCTCCTGTCGACCCTTAAATCTTTAAAACATTTGATCTCATATTTTTTTTTTCTTGCGAAACAAAAAATTTCTAAAAATTATAGAGATACCATGTGACACGTCAAGATCGATCAAGAGCAAAATTATTCATAATTTTTTCCTGATTATCTCCTCTCTTATCTCATAACGTCAACGTATACATAATATCTCAGTTTATCAGGAGTAAATTGTTCGCTCTATTTCTAGACAAGGCACCACTGGGATTAGGGTCAGTTAGAAGTCTGTGCAATTTGACTAGTTGCGGCATGTTGTCTTTGTGTCAATTGTGATCGAGACTTACCTTTCTTTTTTTTGGACATGAAATACTAATTCGGTATTAGTACGATCACTTATCTTCCCTGCACTTGCAATAACAAAAGTGTCATTCATCATGTACGAACCGTATGACTTTCCGAGGAAGATCAGAGATTTATTACTTATGCTTTTTCTCTTTCTTTCCTTTAATATGTATCGCTTTGTTGAATCTGTGTATCAATAGTAGTCTTGCCTTATGTTAAATTCTCTGTCTCTCCTTTGTCACGTAAATTCTTACTCCGTTCTTTATGTAACTTGCAAGTAGACTTTGGACAAATCGATTTTCAATGTGTATTACCTTCGTAGTTTTCCACTGTTGAAACCAAGTAGTATGTAAAAAGACTCACGACTTTTACGTCCAATAGTATTCGAAAGATAAAATCTTATATAATTAGGTAAAAATCCTTTGTGAAACCCATGTATTTTTTTTCCATGTCAATTTCTGAAATAACGAGTTATACGATGCATACAGGTGGTATCGTCAACTAATGGAGAACTGGCTAACGATGATCCGACCGCTGGTCACTCCAATACACCAATTACAGCACCTCAGGAAGTGGACATGATCGACGAAACCAAGTTAGTAGCAGTTTGTTTTATTCGCTATTCGTTTCTCTATCTATTTTCCTAAATTTGCAAAGTGAATAAAAATGCTGTCTCTTGAATCTTTTATTATATTTATATGTGCAATGTTTTTAAATGTTACTAACATTTTAAATGTTACATCATTCTTACTTAAACTTTACATTGATGTTGTTTTTACTTAATTTTACTATTACCTTAATATAAATTTCGATGTATTAAAATCAAGATAAAAATAATAATCGATTAAGAAAAAATCAAATGAAATATTGAAACATTTTCTTAAGCTATGTGCATGTGCGTGCGTGTGTGTATTATTTTCAGAAAAGTAATTCGACTAAAACGCAAACGTTGTCCTCGATGTGGAAAGTTGTTGTTCCAATCTTTACAAGCATACATTTCCAGCGTCTATCCCAACCTCATTCCCGAACTAGGTCTGTTAAACCAATTCAAATGGCCAGTTCAAGATTTTTTGTTCTGTAATATAAGAAGAAAATACAATATTTGTTAAATGTAATTAGAAACCGATTAGTATCGTAGGAGATAATGATACTAATAATGATAAATTAGTATCATAAACAAGATTTGGCAATGTGCAGAGATAATTATTTATAATCATCGCAAAATAAAAGAATGCTATCATTTCTTTGTATCAAACATCTTTATTGTATCATCTAATGTGAAGACTTGAATATTACAATGTTGTATCATGTCAAAAAGAGAAAAAGATTTTTTTATTGATTTATGTATAATTTAGATAATTTTATTTAAATAAGTCAAGCAAGCCTTATCTTCTTTATATTGTACTTGTAATATCAAAATAATATTAATATGTATTTCTCTATATATTTAGAATGAATTAAATATCCAAATGTTTGTTCATCCTACATTTTCTAATTTTCTGATATTCCCATTCCTTTCCTTATCATTCTTTGATAACTTTTCACGAAATCAGACTAACAGTTATATGATTAATCAACATAACATCTCAAGCATGTCTACATTTACACGCAATCGGATAGGATATCTTATTGGGAAATGGACAAATTTTTTTCTCTTCCATTATTACGCAATTGTTGCAACTATTGTCTCACTTCCTGTTGCATGTTCGATGTGTTGATTGACAAAAGACGCTGCCAAGGGGACGACTCTAAGTCCTATTAGTGTTTGCTTCATTTCCAGATGCTGTTGCTTCTTCAAGCGCAAGAAGAAGAAAAGTGGAAGGCAGAAATGACTGTCCGTTACCGTTGGTCTCGGGGGGGCGGTGCAGTGCGCGGGTAATAGTGCCGACGAGACCGTGGGAGCCGTCGCCACGACATCAAGGACGGGCAAGCGCGGCGCGGGAATCGGGGCACGTGCGGGCGCCGGTACGGCAGGTGGTATTGCGAGTAATGCCGATCCCGAGAGAGAAGCCGTCACCCTGCTGCGCGTCGGCAGCCGATCCGCATCACGAGATTCGGTACTGCACACCACCGTCACGATGACTCCAACGCCGACGCCGCCACCGCTGTCGAACTGAATTATCATCATTATCATCATCATCATCACTACTATCACACAATCATTTTACTACCGTCGCTGCTATTATCATTATTAAATGGACGGTCGCGCGACTGATTCGAAATCGAGAGAATGAAGCTACTTTTCCTCTGGCCAATCGAGCTGATCTTTTCGATAAATAGGCGGACTCGCTGACGACGATTCAATCTGCTCCTCTAGTGAAATTCCATAATAATTTCAATATCGTTGCAATCATAGGATCACCTTGGCTGCGTATGTGTTATGATGAAAATGCGGCCAATTATCGGCTTTACTTAAAACTCTGTATTCAGAACACTTGATAATTTGTGTTGGATTTTCATTTGAACTCATAGAAAATTTGCCGGGGTCCCTCTTATCAATTCATTTTTTTTTTTTTAAATAGAGAGTATATCTGGACAGATGGAAAATGGCTAATAGCGATATATTCTGCGACTAATGAAGGTTCTCATGTCAGTGAAAATTTATTTGTTTGGTTTCTAATCAGCGTTGTTTGAGTGAGAAATTCGAAATGTTTATTGTCATTTATATCGTGAATTACAATGTGAAAAGACGTGAGAATTAATATCGAAATATAAAATGATGACGGTTGAAATATTTTTCCATGTTTCCACATGTTTGTCTGACGAGACGACCGATTTCTCGTCCGCATAATTGATAAATTCAATTATTCAATGATTAAATTCCTACGTAAACTTTCACCAGACTTAGTCAATACATCTCTAGCCACCGATATCCATCCTTTTAGACGAGCCACATTGCATTTTGTAGTTTTGTTCGATTCGCTTTCCCCTTTCCTCGTTCTCATGAACGAATTGATGAATGATTCGTGGCCTTGAGCTACTGATACAAGTCAAGACGTTAGCGAATCCACTTACCTACTTACTGAATAAATCCTCTCGTTTAGCCAAGAAAAGTGACCTCGTGCTATTAGATTATTGCTACTATTGTCATGATTACATTTCATCTTGTTGCTACCCACTACTATTACTACTTACTACTACTACCATTACTACTATTAGGTATTACAATTATTATTATTACGATGATTATTATCCTTCATTATTTTATTTTATTTCATTATTATTACTGATATTATTATGTTGAGCGTCTTTATTGTCATCGTTATTATCATCACCATGGTCACGATCGTCATCGTTTCCATTTTCATTATTATCATCATTCTCATTGTCGCGTTTATCAATTACGTTGTTATCGATATCGATGTCATCAATATATTGACATGTCGCTGTTGACTGAAAATGATCATCGGCCACATGACGGTTCAGTATCGGTAAACCAACCGAATCCACACACCCGCATTACATAGGAGTAAGAAGGAATTGACGTACCAATGTCGAGAGAACTTGTTTGTGCCTACGACTCTCTTCATGTAACACGGTAACGCTTTTACACGCCGTAATGTGCGATGGATATACACCGGCGACTCGTTGTGCGCGATCGCATGTATAACTGTGAATTATAACGAATTGAAGCTATCGCAGATCTCATTGTATTCACAGCCCCACAGGACGAGTAAGCGTGTTTCCGAATTAGTTGTAATCGAAATTTCGATTGTCGCGAAATCCGATTATATCCTCTTGAAAGGCATGAAACTGAAAAGGAAACGACGATCGCGCGTTCCATCGGCTCCTCGAGACGGGTATGAAACATTGGACATCTGTAAATAAACTTTCATTTTATCTCTATCATGTTCACAAATTAAGTCACGCACGTTAACATAAACATCGCAAGAGATATATAATGTATAAAGTAAAAGTTCGCGCTCTTCTGATTTTATCGGATATTTAATTTCAATTTCCTTTTATTCACTGTTCAGGGAATATGAAATATTTCTAATTGAATTATTGGAATATTTATATTCCACATTAGAATATTTGTAGTATGTATGAGCCTGAGTATAAACAGTAAATAACTTTTATATAACTTCAATTTTGGGTTATATATTGTAGAAGATGTAAAAGAGTAGCAATATTAGCGTCCAATAAGCGCTATCAAGATAATATTGAATTGTATCCGTATAAAAATCCATTACTAAAGTCCGAACTATCCTGATACATTAATTGTCGAAATGATTTCTTTGATATGTGTACACTGCCTATTTTTTCTACACAAGGATGCACGATAGTTCCATCATTACTATGCGAATTGTAATTAAATATACATTAAGGAATGTTTCGCTATGAGTCATGTTCATTCCTCGAAACGCAAAGTATGTCTCTGTGAATATCCTAACGCGATGAGGATATCATTCGCGTATTATTTGTAATAATAATAATTTTTCATCTGCTGGTAGTTTTAAATACGATGTCAGTCGCGCAGAAAACTCGCATAGTTTCCGTGCTGTATTTTTCAAAGCAATATCACAGCTTCGGTTTCATGCCTTCCAAAGCGAAATTATTATCATGTGAGAAAGTGATCTATCGTGATGAACAGTTGAAACAATTACATTTTACATAACATATCGATGAAGTAAGGTTTTTCTGTCTGTAGACTCTATAGCGTATATAATGAAAATTTAGTAACACGTAAACGCGAGGAACAAATAGAAGTTATATGACATTGCAGTTGATTCGCACCAATGTGTATCGATTAAAAGGAGAAAAAAAAACGATGAGACAGAACTTTTTTCGATGCAAATTATCCTCTATGAGAAGAGTGTGACGGACAACTCTTGTTTTTTGATCCATGTACGTTTTTGATTATTAAAAGAGACATTAACGAACAAATGAGAAAGAAGAAAATCAATGGTACGTCTGCGCTCGATTCTATTTCAATGATCGAGAAAAATAATGAAAATCTATATTGTCGGAATTAATAATAAAAACTGAATTGTACATGATATTCACTGAGACAAATTGATTTAAATGCGGAACGGAAGAGATAACTCATCGAATACGGTATACATGCAATAACATAACGAACTCTCTTTGCTGCGAACATATTTAATCATTATTTTTCATGATGAGGAGAGCCTTGTATCACGAGGCATTTCAAGGGATTTACACGAAGTGACATGCGATTTTCTGCTAGTGGTTCGCAACGAAAGCGACCAAGAGAAATAAGAATTTAAACGAAAATCCAAAGAGCATGGAGAGCAAGGATCCTGTCAGCCATATTGATAAAATAAGCAAGTAAGAATATTATTTGTAATTGTTTACTCAATTTATTCATAATTCAACTTTGAACAAAACTCTATTACTTCAATTATGAACGAAAATTTCACATAAGACACTTATTGCAACACTTTTTAGACCTTGTAAATATTAGAAATTTCAAAGAAAATTATTCAATATTAAAAAGGATTAGGATAATATTATCCAATATTAGGGATGTTACAAGTACAATGTCTTTATAAAAAAAAAAAAAAATCGCGAAACAATATTAACAAGCGTACCTTTTCCATGTTCAAAGTTGTTCAAAGAGAGCATTGCCCATTGGACTCATATTATTGTTTGTCTAAGGTATAATAGTTAAACTCTATAGTTAAACTCTGATCGATATTTTTTTTGCAGGAATACGGCAAGCGGCAAAACACGGAAATGATGAATGCGAAGAAATTTGTGTTACGTCCAAAGGTTTCACCACCTACATGCTAGTCTGGCCGATGACTTCGTACCAGTTCTGAGATATATATGCGCATACGTACCGTGTTATATAATACGCCATCGTTGTATCCATTGAAATAACTTAACTACCTGGCAAGCGCATCCAACAAAATGGAAACCATGTACTTACGGAGTTATTGCATAGCCACATAGTATACTCGGACCCGTACGTGCTCTCGTACGATAGAAAAAGCGAATGAAAGACGGAAGAGAGGGAGAGAACCACTCCGTCGAACATTTTGAAAAGTTGATACGCTTAAAAAAACCTAGAAAATCTATGGGATTTCATTACACTTTCTCTCTCTCCCTCTCTTTCTCTCTCTCTCATTATCTGTATCTTGTCCACTGTCGACGCACTGAGAGTATCGTTCCTTTTTCTTGTGAACTTGCCGCGATTGACAAGCGATCATCGAATTAGGGCGTCGTTTTATGTTTATATGAGCGGACACTGAAAGTGAGTGAGTGATCTGACGAATGTCTGACACCTGATGATACGCTGTGCGTGGAAAGAGAACGAGTCGTGAAGAGACATTTTACTTCGGAGCGCTTTTCTCCTGACGAGGCCGTAGCTTCGTGCATGTTATATCCGCCGTATTTGTACATAAGATACTAGACCGCATTCGCGAATCGTCCTCGCGAGTAGAATTGTTCGTGCGAACTAATAGCGAGCGGCACATGTAATTGTAATTCCTCATCGAATGAGAACACGTGCGTGCGAGATGTCCACGTGAACTCAACGCAGAAAAAGAGAGAGTTTCCGATATTTATATCACTGTCCTGCCACCGGGAAATCCGTGCTGGTGTAATTATAAAATAAATATCCTGCTGTGCAACCATGTTGCACAAGAACGTTTAGCCCGTAGTTTTCTAGATGATTTTTCAAAGCG